AAATTATGGTAGCTATTATCCTGACACCTTTAATTTCATAATCTAGACTTGTGGTTATTTACAAAAAACAAAGACCAATTAGAAATATATTTACACGTAGTAAGCCCTTCAGTATAGGGGCTTTATCCTCTGGGAAGAAGATTTAGAAGGAGTTGGTGGAAGACAGAGTGATAGAAGGAGAGGTTAGAAGTATGGCTAGAGGACAGAGGAGGCTCACACAAACTTTGGAAAACTGGTGAAGATAGGAAAAAAAGCTAAGGCAGGAATATAAACAAGAATAGAGCAAATTAACAGCAACAAGAAGACTAGAAACTGTATTCATAGTCTTTTAAGAATAAGAACAATCAAGAAAATAACAGAATAGGACAAACATGGAAGTAAGAAAGGAGAGAAATGAGGAATGAAAGAAGAGAAAAGAAAGAAAGAGAAAGAAAGAAAGGAAGAAAGGAAAAAAAGGAAGAAAGAAAGGTCCTCTTTGAGGTACAACTCAGCTATTGCTGATATACAACTTTTGGGCAGCAGCGTGCAGAGCCAGCTGTATAGTCCAGTGAGATTCAGGCTGGTTTCTGGTTGTGAGGCCAGAACTGAGCTCCCTGACCTCCTGCAGGTTAGAACTCTACAAGGTTCTTCTGCAGGTTTGAGCCACCCTTCCCCTTCAGCAGGTCCAGGTTCGGTAGGAGGTGCTGGTCTCAGCAACTCACCAGTTGCTGTAGTCCACTTTGTCTTTGCTTTCCCAGTGGGCTTCAGTTTTCAACAACACCAAGCCTAGAGAAGCCGTCTCTCTGCCGCTCTCCACTGTGTCATCTTCCTGAGCCCATAGCAATGGCTCTCTTATCCCAGGTACCTCAGTCGTATGGATCTGGATCCAGGGCCCTGGGTGCAGGGAGCTGCGCTCTTGGGTAGATGCAGGGAGGCTTGCACTCTTGCTGTGGGTGGAAACAGGAGTGGAGGCCCAACTGCTATACTAAGTTTTGATGTGCTCTTAGCTCTGTTTGTCAACTCTGTTCTCTTCCATGACTCTTAACACCTTCAATTACTGCAGCTTTATAACATATTGGGCTCTGGGCAGGTGCTGTGGTTTTAATGTCCCCTCCAAAAGTCAAGATGAACTTTAATGCCAGCATAGCACTGTTGAGAAGCAAGACCCATCAGAAGCAATTAGGCCATGCAGGTTCTGCCCTCATGAATGGTCTGATGTCAACGTCTTCTCAAGGGTTCAGTCACCCCTAGTACAAAGCATGAGTTCAGCCTGATTTCTCCATTGTACACACTCTCTTGCCTTTCTGACTTTCAGTATTTTGTGATGCAGTGAGAAGCTGTGCACCAGATGTGGGTGCCTGGCCCTTGCACTTCACAGCCGCAAGAACCTGAGCGAAATAAACCATTGTTTATAAATTGCCCAGCCTCAGCTATTTTGTTATAGAAGCAGAAAGTAGACTTAAATGGGGAACAATTGTCTTTTTCCCTCCATTATTTTTTTCAGTGTCTTTAGCCTCACATTAATGTTTCTTTTCACTTTAACAAATACTGGTGTAGTTAATAGTGTCTTAAGTGTTTCTCAAGTTTCCCCACTGAGAAATTTTCAGTGGGATTAGTAGAAAGACTTTTGACAACATATAAGGGTCCAGTGAAAAGAATCTGGGGTGAGATAGAAGATTCTAGCTATGACTTTCAGCAAGTTACAGTATTTCTTAGTACCACTTTTTCATTTATTAAGGGAAAGCCTTGTTTTATACAAGTTACATGATTTCTTTCAATTCAGGCTTTTACTGACAGAGTTCCGAAATGAGAAGTTAAAACTATTCATTATAAATTCCTTTATTGTCTCAAAAAGTTGCTGAATACTTCTGGAAACAGTGGAAGTTACGGTAGTGGAAATGGGATGAGGGAGGCAAGGAAGATAAGCATGTACACCGAATCTTCAAGTAATTTATAGCATGGTACCTGTATATCTCTGCTGCTAGACTATAAACTCTGGAAGGGCAGAGCTTGCATCTGACAATGCTAAGTGCACACAAGGATGATTACTGAGTGACAAACTGTGATCTCTGTGAGCTGGAAAAGCGTTTTCTAAGGCAACACCGCCGTGGACTCTGTTCTCAGCTGTCGTCATCCAGTTTTGTCTTCTATCCTGTACTCTTGGGCCCAGTGCCAGAGGCTAAAGATGGAAAGCTGGATGCACAGGGTAACAAGTACATTGTAAGAGTTGCTGTGATGGGAATGGAAAGGAGGACTCAACACAATCACCGCCCGAGATCCTTCTCTTTCCTATTTCTAATCTTCCTTCACTTGAATCCTGCCTCAGATCTCCCCTGACCTTATTTCACCTTCACTTTGAAAGCTGGTGTTCATACTTGGTAAGTTCTGTTTAGACCACGGCTTTACTTATTTTTTTCTTTTTCTTTCTTTCTTTTTTTTGGTACTGGGGATCGGACCTAGGACCTGGAGCTTGCGAAGCAGGTGGCAGAATCACTGAGCTAAATCCCCATCCCCAGCTTTACTTATTGACTCCAAAGCTTTGCCAGTTAGGCTGCAGGCATCCCAAGACCGATTTGTGCAGAGACTGCTGCCCAGGCAGATGTCACCCTAAATTCTAGTCCTTTCCATTCTATTGGAACTTACTGACCAGCTCCATTACACTGGAGGAAATGGCTTTTCAGAATCCCTTGCTGGCCTCAGAAAATCCTCCTAATGAACACAAAGTCCTGCTTCTGAAAGCTCAGTGGGGCCACACATTTTTTTCTAATAATACTTTATTGTGGTTAATAACACCTAAAATTTTACTGTTGTAGCTATGTTTAAGCATATGACTCAGTGATCTTAAGTATATTCATCTTGTGCAATCATCACACTGACTGTCTCCAAAAGTCTTTTCATCTTTCCAAACTGAAATTTGACATCCACAAAACAGTAACTGACCTCTCTCCACCCTTCTCTGTCTCTGGCAGCTACCATTCTACTCTCTGTTTTATGATTTTGGCTAATTTACATGCTTTACCTATGTGGGGATACAGTGTTGGTTTTTTGTGAGTGGCTTGTGCTTCTTGGTACAATGACCTCAGTGGGTGAACCATATGTCAGATTTTCTTTCTTTTTAAGGTGGAAAAAATTCCACTGGGTCTGTTTCATTGTCTGTTTCATCCATTAATGGACAGTTAGGGTGATTCCATGTTTTAGCTAGAGTGAAAAATGCTCCTATGAGCCTGGGTGTACAAATGTCTTTTTTAAGACCTGCTTGTAATTCTTCTGAGTAAATACCCAAACTGGAATTGTGTACTGCTTGATCAAGTGCTAATTCTGTTTTTAATTTTTAGGAACTACCCTTCTGTTTTCCACAGTGGCCATGCCACTTTAATTTCTGCTAAGAATTGGTTCCATTTTGCCTGACACAAGGTTCCAGTTTCACTACATCCTCTCCCACACTTGCTATATTTTATTTTTTGCTAGCAGTCATTTTACATGGCACAAAGTTATGGTTTGTGGTTTTGATTTGTATTTTTCCAGGGCCTATTGGGCATTGTATGTTTTCTCTGGAGAAGTGTATGTTCAACTCCTTCACCTATAGGCTGTGTTTTAAGACTGTACATCAAATCTGTTTTCAGGTTTTCCAGAATCAAACTTACTTTCCATTTCTAGTTAATTTCTATTTTTTCTATGAAGCCCCTTCTGATTTCTTTAGGTAGAATTAACTGCTTTGTTTTTGTTTTCTACCCATATCTTATGTATACTCTGAAAGCATTTGTTCCAAAATGTTGGAATCATCCTGTTAACAAATTTGCTTCTTCCCATTTTCACCTTAGACCTATAACTATGTTTTATTAATTTTTGCACATATAGTAGCTATTACTCCATGTGGCACACAGCAGGAGCTTGGTGATTTTCTGTTGGATGAATACATCCATGTATTATCTAGTTTTAAAATAGAATGTTTACTTTTATAGGCAACTGGATCTTTAGATCATGGTTTCTTATGAAATTAATAAATAAATGGCATCTACCAACACAATCTATAGTTTTATTCCTTACCAAACTGTATTGTACTATATTTGTTCTCTACCAATAATGAGTGGGGATCCTCAACTCTGGATGGACTTTATAAGCATCTCATTTCCTGGGCTTAACCTCAGAGAGGGCTGGTGAGGCCTGGGTTGTGTTTTTATTTTTATTTTCTATTTTTTTGGTACCGGGGATCGAACTCAGGTTCTTGCTCAGGTCCTTGTGCTTGCAAGACAAGCAGCAGAACCACTGAGCTAAATCCCCAGGTGGGTTGTGCTTTTAAATAGTTCCTCAGGTAGTTCTGTCTTGGCTATGGGTAAGAACCATGAAGAATCACTAGAAACAGTGGTTCACCAAGTCTGTGGCTCTCTTCCACCTCATGGTCCCGAGTCACCTGCTGTCACATTGCGGGAAACAGGTAGCACATGCATGGAAACTGGTTTGGAGGCCTGCATACTTCCTAAGTTTTCTTGAAATGAACCAACTCCTCCTTTCTGCACCTTGCAACCCTCATAGTTAACATAGGACAAGTCAGTTAGTCGTCCAGTGGTTGTGAAGATGTTCCTTTGTAATCTTAGCTTGAAAAATGTAAGTTCAGGTGACTTAGGCATTCTGAACCCGTAGAGTCAGGGAAGAAGTGTGGCGTCTCTCTCAGCCTGAGCTAGGCCCACGTGGAGCGTTATCAAAGTCTGTGAGGAAATGTCGGTGACCTCTCTGCCTGGGGAGATGTGGATTTCATGATTATGTGTGGCTTTGCTTCTTTTATTGTCTCTAGTGCTATCCTTGGCATTCTTTTCATGTGCTCTTTTGTACAAATTAGAAAAGCAAGAGTTAAGATGTAGAACTTGTGTGTCTGGCCACGGCTGCTGAGAGCAATTCAGCATGTCAAGCTGAGGTCAAATGAAAAGGGAATGTCATTACTAAATGGTAACATTCTCTGAGGGCTTTAAAGAAATCCAAGTCCTTTAAAAAATCTACATTTATTTTATCTTTTTTCAGGGTGATAGGTTACACTTCTAGGTCTTGTCAGAGATTTGTACATTAAAATGACTTTAAGTTTAATGATTCTAGAAATCAACTTTCCAAATAGTTTTTTAGGTGACACCAGTAGAATGCATAAAGTTTTATTTGAGACATAGACTTCCTTTTAAACTCTTTGAAATGTACTTGCTTATTTGTAAGGACGGTACAGTGTTCACCTATGTTTCTCTTTGTTATGCAAAAAAGACACCAACGTGTAGGTCGTATTTCTAAAGTCCATGACCGGAATGATAGATATCTACTCAATCTTCTCTCATCTCATTAGATTTAAAGGGCTATAATATTCTGAAGCTTGCAACACACTTACACTTGGCTTAAAACTCGTGAAATGCACACATCTGGGTGTCTATGTTGAACATGACCATGGCATGTTGATAAGTGGGTGGTTCCGGCTGTGCATTATGTGTATGTGAGGCTGACGGTGTAGCAGGTACGGGACACAGAGTTTGAAAAGCTGGGTGGAGGGCAAAAGTAAGTTACTGAGGCGATATTTTGTGCCTGCCACCCCTGTGGAGCACCAAGTGAAACTGTGCACAAAAGAAAGGTGAGTTTTCCTTTTCTATTTGTCTGCAGTACAGAGGCAAGCAGAAATACAGCTGCTCGGGAAGTGGATGACACCACCTCTCACCACTGCAGCCGCGGTGCAGGTGCCTCTCCGAACCTCAGATCTCCTGTTCCCATGCGGTCATGCTGATCTGTAGGTGCTGATGTGTCCAGCTCTTTGCCTGCAGCCTCCTCCCAAAGCTGGGGAAGTGTCCTTTGCCCACCTGCAGACCGGCTGAAAGGGCACAGACCTACAGCAGTGACAGGTGGGAAGAGTGGACAAACACCTTGGCTGCTCCTTTCCATGGTGGGAGAAGCTCCTGCGACTCCGTCTCTCCCGTCCCCAGCTGGTGAGCTGTCTGCTCTCAGAGAGCCGAGGTGCGGGGCACACACTTCACTGTCTCATCCACACTCCCTCCATCTCTCTGTTACTGCCCCATGCTCCTACCAGGATTTCCTGCTCCTCCAAACTTGAAAATAATTCCTGTCTTAGGCTCTATTTCCAGGACAGCTCCAACTACAGTAGTTGACAAAGGCACGTGGTGCTTTTGTTTATTTTTTCTACTTTGCTTTGAAAATGGATGTTGATGGGAACTCACCTGAAACCTATTTGCAAAGCAATACCCTAGGGAACCCAGTGGGCCTGGCTTTGAGCCTCAGTTTTGTTATTTTATAAAATTACCAAATGGGGTAAGTGGCTTTGTTGTGAGATTCTATTATTTCAAAACAAAGTAGGGATTCTTTCACCTTCAGTTGTGATTTACCGTCACTTCCCTGTGCTGGTAAGGACCATGCATTCCCTTTAACATTTGCATCAGACCACATTCCAGTGCGTGCTGATCACACTCCCTGTGCGGAGCTCTTGCAGGTACTCAGCACCTCTCAATCCCTTTGCCGTCCTCCTGCCCTCTTCTTCCTCCCCCCGCTTCCATCTCTGAGTCCCGTTCCCGTTTGCTGAGGATCTCTCTCCTGCTCCTGTTATCTCTTAGCCAGCACAAGCTGAGTCTCCAGAGTCTGCTGCCTGACTTTTCTGGGTGCCTGTCTCACTGGTCACCAGCTCAGCCTCTGGGGAACATTCCTCACTCTGCCCTGTCCCCTCTGGGGCCAGCAGCTACAGCCCTGACTGAGGGCATCCCCTTCCCAGCCACCCCACTTCCTTCTCCGCCTCTCCTTGGTGTGTTCTGTCCTCACGCCATTGAATCTGCCTCTCTCAGGGCCCCGAAGTCATAAGGCACAAGCCCTTGCTCCTCTCTCTGATTGCATTTGCACATTTTGATAAAAAGGGATTTCATCCTGGTCTGAGTAGATCTGTCCGGCACGTCAGGCAGATTCCAAGGTGAAGTTGGTGCCTGTCCCAGCGGCTGGAGTCATCGTGAGCAGGGTGAGCACCCATCCAGGGAGGAGGACACAGAAATGAGGAGTGGAGAGCAGGCACGGTAAACTCCCAGTGTGCGCTTGTCTCCCATGGCTTAGCTGGTCTGGGGAGGGTGGCTTGGTGTCTGAGTGCCTATGGCTCTGCGTCTGTCCTGGCAGAGGGAGCTGCACTCAGGTGGACCTTGCTTTTCTTGCTTGCAGCTATTCTTAGATCTGGAAGAGACACATGAGTAAAGGGGGAGCTCGAGGAGCCGAGCTGGTGTCACCCTGGCTCAGAAGGGCTCCCAGAAAAGGCCTAGTTCCTTGGTGGATCACCCCAGTTTATCGGGGCTTTGACACCCAGATCTGAAGTCTCTTGCTAGCAGTCTCTCCACCCTTGTGATTCTGTATCTTTACATGGCTTAGTAGGCCAGGGACAATAATTCTCATCAAATATGCCTCCCACTTCCCTGGTCCCTGGAGCCAGGTGGGCCATCTGGGTGGTTCTGGCCAATGCAATGCCTGTCAGGGGTAAACTGAGGCAGCGGCAATCCCATCAGTGATCTGTGTGTCCCCTCACCTCTGATTTGGAGGCAACCACTCCCTCAGGGCAGCCCCTCATCTGTCTATCTTCATAAACTAACTGTGACACGAGGCCCTCTTTTGACTCCCGTGAACCACGTGATACCAGCAAGTCCTGTCCACCTGTTTGGTGCACAGAGTCACCGAGACTCCAGGCTTTTCTGTCACAGTAAGATCAGTCTCTCTCGAGTCACTTGCAAACTGACACCTGCAGAAGAAAAGCACAAGCATATGTTGCTTTGGTTTAGTGATCAGGTCACAGGGAGTCACTGGGAAAGCAGACCGAAAAGATGGCTACTGTGACCCTCACCCCTCAATATGTCACTGAGGCAACTCGTTCATAAGGCGGAGGAGTTTATTCTTTGCTGTGGCAGGGAGGCTGTCACGGAAAGGGGGAATGTGACGTGGGACGGTGGCTACCACGGAGCGTGAGAGAGAGAGAGGGCAGGGGCTCCTCTGTTACAGCAACGTAGGGATAAGACTGATGAACGTCCAACGTAAGCCTGGGTTTGTCGCAGAAGGATTTGAATAGGAAAATGTTTAAAACATTGCTCATTAAACAATGTTTTTAAATTATAGATTCAGAATCCAGCCCCCCTCACCGGGGCTATCACCATGAAGTGCTGTCATTCTCATATGGACCTCTAGCAAGATCACTCAGTAGCTAGAGAAAGATCTAGCATTTTGCCAGTTGTCAGAACAAAATGGGACTATTGTAGACTCTGATGAGCCCCGTGCCCAACAAAACTGCAGGGGGACCCGTTTTTTTTTTTTTTTTTTTTTTTTTTTTTTTTTTT